TGCTGTTTCTGGAACATCACATGAATGAATGGTGACGCTATTAGACATAAAAATACCAAAATCACTGTTTCACCTTTAAAAAAAATGTTCCACTTATATTAGGCTGTCGTCATAGAACCTAATTTTACGGATAAAATAACATCCACACACAGTAACTTATTTACGTTTCCTTTGCACATTACACATCACAGCACACCAGCTCGCCCTCACGTAGGCGACTCAACCCTTCGTGACTTCCGGATGACTACAGTGACTCAAGGACAAAGGAAGTCACTGCAGGTCTCTTTCAAAATTAAGGCCCTGCAGCGGAAAGGGGAAGGGAAACCCTTTACTGTGAAAGGTTACGCCGGAAGACGAGTAATTTAGTCTGGCTTCTTCACGGTGGTCCTCCTCACGACTCATCTTCAGTGATGCAATACGTGTATTTCTGCTGAAACATGACTCTTTTTTTAAAATGAGAGGAAGTTGCAAAAATCATAGTTAATATAAAGAAATAAGATGACATTTAATGGCGTTGTCAACTTTTGCCTGAACCGATAATTTATAGGGATTTTAATAATAACAAGAATAAGAATAAGAATAAGAATAAGAATAAGAATAAGAATTTCCATCACGAGGTGTGGACTTTATGCTTTTCCACCAAAAGCAGTGGCGAAACCTGACTGAGTGCACACCGCAGTGTATAGCACTATCAGCTTTGGGTTGCTGTTTAGATCATGCGTATGCCATTAGACGCGCACAGGGACGCAGGACACACAGGCAATCAATACAGGAACACAGCCCATATAGATTCTGCAGTGGTGCAGAATGCATGATAAGGAGAGCGACTCCCCACATAAGAGGATTCAATTATTTAATTACCACGAACACTTGTTGATTTCGTTGCAGCTTTCCAAACTGCCCCCCTCATCCCTGCTGCAATCCGAGCATATCTTTTTCCAGCAGGTCGTGATTACTACTACTACTTCATACCTCCTCAAGCGGTTATAAATAGTCTACTGCAGCATCCATGGAAAAATGTGTAAGACAAGGGTTTCAGGGCAGCTGTTGCGTAATAGTCGCTGTGATTTGCTTAATACCTTGTAAATAATGGGTATCAAGAAAAAATAAATATATACAAGGCAAATAAAATGCATTATTTATTTTTTTCATGCAATTATGCACCTTGATTGACCACCACGCTTTTTGACAAGCTTGGAGGGGATACATCCATTGTATCCAGGCCTCTAGCTAACATATTTCTCCAAATCTCCACAAAGAGGTAGGGAGTAAAATTAACCCTACAACCACACTAGGGGAAGAACCGCTTATACTTAACAACAGTAACATAACTCTGGCAGTGCGTGCCACTTTGAGAAAATGCATATATGTGCAAAAGACCACGTCAGCCTCAGTAAACACGTCTGATAACATATTTTAAGAGAGGAGTTTATTCTCCTGGTGCTTTCTCGGCAGCACTTTTACGCGAAATTATCTATTTTCATTAGGGCAGGAGCGCCGTCCGATAATGGAACCTCACTAAGTTACCTTGGGCATCTCCGCCGCTGGTCAGCACTGCGATGGATTTACCAGCGCCGGATAGATTCTCAAAGAATTTCCGGGTGTCCTGTCGCTTTGGTGCCGATGCGCCAGCCATCTCTGTCTCCTTGGCCCCTGTCACCTGTTAAATAAAAATGTTAGATTTACTCTTCTACAAGCAGCGACCAGTAATACTGTCAATAACCGTGACAGGAGAACTACTGGAGGACTGCAGTGGTTACCGCCCTCTTTCTCATCATACACACCCCCTCTGCAGAGGTCCTACATTTAGTGAGGTGAGACACTGCATGGCGGTTTCGGTAGCGCAGTGGGGTCAAGTGTCAGGTTCTGGGGTCAAAACGAGGCCATTTGGCCTTTCAAAGAGCGAAACTGCCCTGAAGCCATTAATTGCTCAGCCCTTTCACTGAAATCCATCCAGCCTTCCTGTGTGGTGAGTCACAGTGAAAATGCGCAGGAAGTTACGTTTTTCTACATCTAAATCATTAT